CTCCTCCACTGAGGTCACTTCCCAAGATTAGGTCATACGGCGTTTACCATAGCTAGAGTGGATCGTAACGTTCTTTCTTCCCCCATCCCTCCTTGCTTCTCCTAACAAAGGGGTGCTTAATCAACTTTCCCGAAGGGGCCGTGGACGTGCTACAGTCTGTAGACTTTTCAAAATTGTATTCCAGACTGCATACGTGTGTCTCTGTGCATTTCCCCAGGACAGAGTCCACTGCTTCCCACAAAGTACAGTACCAATTTCCCAAAAGGTGAAGATATATTTGGGGTCATTTGGGTGTTCCTCTTCCCCTGTTCCCCAGCCATATCCATGGGCTTTGGGGTATGGGGTAATTTGAGAGGTGGACACCGCAGTTTAGGTCACTCTTCCAGTTTCCATCAGAGGGCAAGCTGCCAGTCCAAGAGCCCCAGCAGGTAATCGGAGCATGCCTTGTTGGATGGGGGGCTGGAGGAAGGACAGCAGATCTCAGAATTCAGGACCATCCTAGTTGTTAGGGCGGGGCCAGAGGAAGGGAAAAATGTAAATAAGAGAGGAAGCTGGGGACAGAATATAATCTTAAAGGACTTTATTACTTTGTTTAGGATGGTGCTTTATAGGACATGAAAAGCTGCCCCAGGTCCCACAATGGGCAATAACATCAACCTGAACTCATACTCATTCCACTGGATTTTTCCATTGTTCTTTAGCTACCATATACGGATGATTTAATCAACCACAGGGGCTCTGTAGGGACTCTGGCACTGTGAATTAAAAGCCCCCCATTCCTTGGCTCCTGTCCCAGAGCTACCCTAAGCCTCTGGGTATAAGGTCTGTGACACACGTCATCACTGTCAACATCAGCAGGGTCCACGGTTCCCACTGTGACAGGTGCTACTTACTAAAGTGATCCTGGATCTTCATAAGCAGGGGCAGCTTATCCACTTCAATCATGTTGAAGGCGAGGCCCTTTTTCCCAAAGCGTCCTGTCCGCCCTATGCGGTGAAGGTAGGTCTCATAGTCTGGCTCCTCAGCTTGGTTTACAGGGAGATCAAAGTTCACAACAATTGTGACCTGCTTCACATCGATCCCTACAAGAGGAGAGATGCTGTAGGGTCCTGCAACTGTTTCCTTAGGACATAGCTATTCGCAAACCACATCTGCCAAGAGAATTCTCATGCAACAGCCACAATTTACAAATAAAACTTGGTTTTACATCATGAAAGTGGATACTCTGGTCAGGCAATTTGCTTGCACAGTATGTCTAGGATGCTAGATTTAAGAGTGTCAGTAGAAGCTTGTTCCACAGAAGTCTAAATATGTACAGAGATTGTGTGTGTGTTGTGGACAGGGGCTCTCACCAAGCCCACAGAGACAAGGCCTCCTCTCCCCTCCTGCTGTGCTAAGTCCCCAGCAGGCCCCCTATCTAGAGTCCCCTACCCTTCAGGGGATCCCACTCCGCTCCGTGCCCTGGTCATCGTCCCACCCAGGTCTTTTTTATCCCCTGCCTCATTGTTACAACAACTTCCAGCTGGGTTCCCCCTCTTCTCTCCTCCTCTGATCTCTCTGACCACAGTCACCATGGCAACGTCCAGAACACTTGTGTTCAGGACCCGAATGCCCCAACTGCACAGGATGAAGAACAAACAGTTCCAGATTTCCACACCACCTGAAGTCTCATCTCTTCCTCTCCTGACTCAAATCCAACACTACAGTCACACGGTCTTGCCATTTCCCAAGCAAACTGTCAATTCTTACCAAACTGGATTCTCTACCCTTCCTTCAAAACCTTTCACATCTAATGTTCCCTAGGAAGACTTCTGTGATCCCCCAGTACCTCCGGCCCCCAGCACTAGAAAGCTGTCTGGGTCACAATCCTTGTCCTCCTTGGAGCTCTTGGTGCCCTCTTTCGGCCTAGGTCTAGCGTCATGCCATCCAATATGGCTATCTAACTTTAATCCAAATTAAAAATCATTTCCTCAGTCACAGTAGCCATGTTTCAAGTACCCAGCAGCCATATAAGGCCAGTGGCTACCAACTGAACAGCACAGAGTAGAATATTTCCATTAATGTGGAAAGTTCTATTGGGTAGCACTGGTCTAGATAGTAAGCGTCTAGGCACTGAGCTCCCGAGGGGCTGGGACCTCATCCTTTTTCAGGCTGCTCTTCCACAGTGCTGAGCTCTACACGCACGGTAGGTCCTCATTTCTATCTCCTGAACTAAGAATGAATTAGGAAACAAGGTTCGAGTATAGGGTCTAGGCAAGGGCATAGGGAGCCTGAAAACCATAGGAAGGCCCTTCTCTTAAGAAAAACCAAAGATTTTTTTCCCTCAGTAGTCAATAGTTTTGAAATTAAAAACACCTCAGAGATGATCAACACCATTAGGGAACATGAGTTAAAAACACAGTGAGATGCCACATACATCTACTAGAATAACTAAAATTAAAAAGAGTGACAATACCAATTGCTGGCAAGGATGCAGAGCAACTGGAACTCTCCTACATTGCTGGTGGGAATAAAAAATGGTAGTCACTTTGGAAGATAGTTTCTTATAAAGCTAAATATACATTTACCGTATAACCCAGAAATCCTACTCCTAGGTATTTATCCAAGAGAAATGAAAACATGTCTCTGAAAGACCTATACCTGAATGTTTACTATAGCTTTATTCAAAATAGCCCCAAACTGTGAATAATCCAAATGTCCATCAACTGGCGAATGGATGAACTAATTGTGGTACATCCATTCAACGGAATACTACCCGGCAATAAAAAGGATTGAACTAATATATGTCACAAGATGGATGAACTCAAAAGCATAATATCGAGTGGAATAAGTCAGACACAAAGGCTAACTACTATATGATTTAATTTATATAGCATCTGGAAGAGACAAAAATACGGAGACAGAAATCTGATCAGTAGTTTCCAGGGGTCAGATGATAAAAGGAAGAGACTGACTGCAAAGGAGCACAAGAAAGTTCTGGAGGAAGCGGGGACTGTTCTGTACTTCGAGTATGGTGATGGTCACATGACTGTATGTTTGTCAAAACTCACTGTAAACTTAAAATCAGTGAGTTTTATCATATGTAAATTATACTTCAATAAACTTGACTTTAAATGTATACATACATACACACACACACACACACACACACACCTCGAGCACAGACATTGGTTGTTATAAGAACTTTCTCTTTCCCATCCCGAAACCTCTGAATGATGGAGGCTCGCTGATCCACGGTCAGCTCTCCGCTTAACAAAGACACTTGGTGGCCATCCTGCATCATCTCCACAGTCAACCACTTGGCATTTCGACGAGTCTACATGAAAACACAAAACCCAGCATAGCACCCCAAGTCCAAGCAGGCCGGCTGTGTTTGCAATGCTCACATATGCACAGTGAGGAAGCCGGAAAGGGCTGCACAGGAGTTTTGCTTTACCTCTCCCTCAAGCCATAGAGGAACCTTCGAATGGGGCACCTCCTGTGCTTCTCAGGGTCATGTCCTCTCAACCTGTGGGGGCTTTGGCTTCTCGGCCATGAAGTAGAGGTAAAATGCTCACTCACCTCACGCGGTAGGATGACGCCAAAATGGGGTAACATAGTAAAGACAACCTCAGGCACTGTAAGAGTGCTTCCTGTCTGCCCGGTGTCTTGTTCAGATCTTTATATGCATTGTGGTCATTGTTCTCACAATTTGATGAAACAGCTACCTGATTTCATTTAAAAAATTAAAAAAAAAAAAAACCCAAACCCAAAGCTTAAAAACATGGAGTCACTTGCCCAGGATTTTCATGGCTAGTCCGTGGCAGAAGTGAGCTTTCTTTTATTCGATAAGGTTTTCAGTGCTGTCCCTGTGTCAGGAGGGCGCCATTCTAGTGGGGCTACGAAAGTAACACAGATGAGGTCCTGCGCTCATGGAGTTTACAGTGTTCACGTGGTAGAGAGAAAACAAGACCAACATGTGAACGTGAAACGTGTCGGAGAACAAAAAATAAATACGAAAATAAAAATAGGGTAATATGAATAGCGAGTGACTGAGTGGCTACTTTCCTCACAGTAAGTTAGGAACTAGACAAGAATATTCTTAATCTGATGGAGGGGAACTATAGAAACCCCACACTGAACATCCACCTATATGGGGAAACATCAGACGCCATCCTTCTAAAATAAGGATGTCCTCTAGTTAACATTATCTGGAAGTCTTACTCCATCACTTCATCTTTCCACACAGATTCATTTCTGTCCCAAGCTGTTCTGAAGATTAAATACCCTCCTGTACCCAAAGTGCTGAAGGGGGAGCCTGGCCCTCACTGGCATCACCGTCCCCTCCACGGCGGGGGGCGGACCCTCTGCGGGCAGTCCGGGCGTGGCGAAGACAGACCGGGGCATGGTTACCTGGCAGAAGATGATGGCCTGCCCAATGGTGATGCCGCCGTAGATGTTGCACAGGGCTTGGTACTTGTCTTTCCGATTCTCACACAGCACGTAATACTGTCGGATGTTGTGCAGGGTCAGCTCCTCCTTTCGCAACTTGATAACGTTAGGGTCTGGAATGATTCGCTCTGCAAACTGCCACACAGACTCCTCGAAGGTCGCTGAGAAGAGAAGCATCTGGCACTCCGAAGGTAAAGCTCTGTAAGGGGCAGGGAAGACGCCGTCAGCCACTGCTGTTCCTGCCGCTCTCCTCGGGGCAGAGTCAAGCACGTCCTGCCCACTGCCACCAGGGTCGGGGGGGAGGTGACGCCTTCCACCTCTGTGCAAAGGCCCACGTGTCCTGCCCCTCCTTGCCTCCAAGAATTTGGGAGCACACACAAGCTGAGTATGGAGCTCAAGAGCAAAGTCTAGATATGTATTTTGGAGGGCCTGGGGCGTTTCATGCCGATTTTCTGCTAAAGCGAGGCAGGATCAGGAGCCCCGAGTGTTGGTCTAGATACTCTTCATGGTATCCGTCTCACACACAGTGAAATGGGAGGAAAGAAACAGGCTAGTCATTTCCTCCCAAGAAAAAGAACAACAGCCACACTAACTTTCTTTGGGATGGGAAGGACCTGGATAGAAACAAAAGGGAAACAAAGGGGAAATGCTACTGCATGCAAAACGTGAGCTGAACCCCGTAACAAACACAGGGCTGATTCGCATAAAGTTTAAAAATGGGCAAAATGAATCTATGAAGCCAGCAGTCAGAACAGAGGTTAATCCTGGGGAGGAGCGGGCGGGGATGGGGGTGGGCGGAGGCTGGTGACAGGAAAGGAGCCGTAGGGGACCTCTGGAGTGCTGGTAAAGTTCTAGTTCTCCGTCTGGGCCATCGTCTGAACACAGCCTCTTTGAATTTTCACTCAGCTCCACACTTGTGATTCATGTATTTCTCTGAACATATTTTATACATCAATAAATCTGAATTTAATCTGATTTCAACAGAGAGAAATCACCGCTTTTGAGAAGACAGCACCTAGAAGATATGGCATTAGTGCTAAAAGAGGGTGGTGGAGATCAGGGGGTCCAGTGACTCCCAGGCACGACGTCAAGCCTGGGGCGTGGGTCATCTGGGGAGCTGTTCTAAGTAATGACTGGACAGACTTCTGGGCAACTATGGTAGACTGTCTACATGCATACCTCCCCAGCCTCCCACACACCACGAGTATGATTATAAAGAGACAGAAAGATATGAACCCACAACAACACAGAGAACAGAAGAGGGGAAACTGGCAGATGAGGTATCTCAATGTATTTCTGGAAGATGGGAAAGCATGGTAAATGAGAAAGCGGATGACGCCCTCATGTGAGTGGTACAGATGGAAATGGTGATGCAGATGGTGGCTGGGCTGCAAGGGCAGTGCCTCCCTCAGAACCTGTGAGAGCGCTCGGAGCTACGAGCGCCAGGGGCCAGAGAAAGCAGGCGTGGTGTGTGAGAAGACATGAGGAAGATTCTGCATTAGCTTGCTGCGGTGGGGGGTGGGGGCCCGGAGGAAGGGCGGCACCTCTTGGCTGTCTACTGTATCACGGTCCTCCATCTGGAAAAAGATGGCGCCAGGACTGGCATCCCAAGACTTGGCCATTTCATTCCAAAAAGACAATGTACACAGATTACACAAGGAAAGGAAACATGGGCTAGTCTACAGAACAGTCTGGATTTCGAAGACTTAGTATGAGAAAAAGAATGTAAACTATTTCATTAATAATTTTTATACTGATTAAATTGATTACTTGTTAAAATGCTCTTTTTTGATATGTTGGGTTAAATAAAATATAATATGAATTTCACCTTTTTTTAAATGTGGCTATTAGAAAATTTAAAATTACATGTGGCTTGCATTATATTTCTATGGGACAATACTATAATCTTTTTTAAGCAAAAGAAGAAAATCAACAACGAAGGGATGAACAACCAACATAAATGCCCTAATTATTACTTAATATTCTCTTGAAGAGAAAGCCCTTTTTGACTACTGGATCCTTCTCAGAATTCTGACTCTTTTATTCTTGGTTATACATAAATATACCAACTTATTGGTAAGGGATAGCAAGAAGGGAGTCTCACTTGATCTTTGGCTGAAATTATTATTTTTTTAAAGATTTTACTTATTTAATTGACAAAGAGAGCGAACACAAGCAGGGGGAGCGGCAGGCAGAGGGAGAAGCAGGCTCCCACTGAGCAAGGAGCCTGATGCGGGGCTCGATCCCAGAACCTGAGCTGAAGGCAGATGCTTAACTGATTGAGCCACCCACTTGCCCCTGGCTAAAATTATTTTAAACAGGAAGGCTGGCTGAAAATGTGTATAAGGAACAGCTGTATCCCACCTTACTTCAGGCAGGTGAGCATGTACAAGTAGGAGACCAGAGGTTTAGTCTGTGCAGAAATCCCAGACTTGGGGATGCCAGCCTCAGCCCAAGGTGAGAGTAAAGCAGAAAGCTAAAAATAGGGAGTGAGTGAAAATATGCATATGAGAGCATGCAGCCCATTCCCTGGCCCTGCTCCCAGGAGGCCAGCAACCAAGTGTATGCCTCCTAGGGAAGAGAGGAAAGATATTCCATAGTTCTAATGACCTGCAAGTAACGATCACCCTAGAGGGGAGCTGCCCAAGGCACAAGTCCCAGCCATGCACTCAGAGCTATCAATAAGTTTCTTGGTTCCTAACCCTAGATTACGAAAGGCTAGCCAGGTATCACCAGATACGAGGGGGGAAGGTCCATCACAAGAGACAGACGTAGCAAAGAAACAAAAAGAAGAAACTTAGATAATTCAGAACCAACGTTGAGAACAGAAAAAAATCTTAAATACTATAATTAATATTCTCAGAGAGACAACAGCAGCATATTGCATCCATAACAAGAAAAGGAAGTTACAGAACAGAAACAGAGAAAGGCAGGACAACCCAGACAAGACAGAAAAAGAAGATCAAATGACTGTGTTATTTTAACGACAGATAGAAGGACACATTCAACTGGGTGAAAGAGGTAAACACCAGAAATAGAGCAACTGCACCGCATGAAGGAAGAATTGGGGGCAAGGCATGGTGGGGAAGGAGACGTGGAAAGCATATATGGAGACCGAACCTCCCAAGTTCAGGATGAGACAGGCAACATTTCTAAATTCAAAGCTGTTTTGCCTTTTGAAAGCACACAGTGCTCAGCTGGAAACTGGATGCTGAACTCGTTTAGCCATTCTGCACAGACAGACATGCATCATTGCATTCCTCCCTTGAAATCTCTAGGAAGCTGAGTAAAGTTACAGTGCCTGCTTCGGCACTTGCAAGTAAAATGTCCTGCGGGTAAACAAATGGAGACATTTTGACCAGAGATGGTCTTACCACTTTCCGTGGAGAGCTAATTCTGTAAGATCTTACTAATGATCATGCTTTGTACACTATACCAGGTGATATGTCAAATCACAGCAACAAAAAATATATTCCCCCTATCTCTCAGGATTTGAAAAATGGAGTTCAAAATATCTTCTTGACTTCCTTGAAGTTTTAATAAGACACAGAAAATCTAAAACAGAAGATTGCTGATATCACATCCAAATACAAACTAGCTTCTCATCAACTGTCTGCACGTGCAGCAGACAGTGCAAATGTAAATTCTGGCAGCTTCCACTCAGCCTATAAACTTATCAAAGAAAAGGAAAAGATCTTGCCAGCTAAATACCCCACATACTTTGAGAATAGCATTTCTAAAAGGCAAATCATTTGCTTAACTGTGACACTGAGCTTTTGTTATCAAAGTTTTTGCTTACTTTTTAGCTTCCTCAAAACTTGCTGAGGCACAGTAAGATTTTGACCTATACGGAAATGGAAGAAGAGTGTCACCTTGAACATCTGCCTATAAGATACATTCACTGTTGAGGCCATGTAAAAGAGTTAAAATGTTGGCCAGTCATAAAATCATATCTTCAAAGTGTGAGAAAAAAAGAAAGTCCTTCTCTAATCTGAAAATACGCTGAAGATGGGAATGGAGGAAAGGATGATAGTAAAACAGAAATGATAAGCTGAGCTATCTGGTGTTACCTAAAAAATTACTCATTTTTTAGGAAATAAGGCGGCTGCAGAACTCAAAAATGTCACCAGAAAAGGGCAGCCCAGGGGCGCCTGGGTGGCTCAGTCGTTAAGCGTCTGCCTTCGGCTCAGGTTGTGACCCCAGGGTCCTGGGATTGAGCCCTGCATCGGGCTCCCTGCTCCGGGGGAAGCCTGCTTCTCCCTCTCCCACTCCCCCTGCTTGTGTTCCCTCTCTCGCTGTCTCTCTCTCTGTCAAATAAATAAATTTAAAAAAGAAAGAAAGAAAGAAAAGGACAGCCCAGTTGAACAAGACTTTCTCGTTCCTTTGCTAAAAACTGGAACTTCAATCCATCTTTGACTTCCAAAGCCTAAATCGCCTACGTGTTTTACCACTATTTTCCCTGAGAACCACAATGGTAGCTAATGTACTTCAGAGTGTTTGAAAATGACGGACATTTTATTTTATTTTTTTTAAAGATTTCAGGGCGCCTGGGTGGCTCAGTTGGTTAAGCGACTGCCTTCGGCTCAGGTCATGATCCTGGAGTCCCTGGATAGAGTCCCGCATCGGGCTCCCTGCTCAGCAGGGAGTCTGCTTCTCCCTCTGACCCTAACCCCTCTCATGTGCTCTCTCTCATTCTCTCTCTCTCAAATAAATAAATAAAATCTTTAAAAAAAAAAAAAAGATTTTATTTATTGACAGAGAAAGACACAGCGAGAGAGGGAACGCAAGCAGGGGGGATGGGAGAGGGAGAAGCAGGCTTCCCACAGAGCAGGGAGCCCGATGCAGGGCTTGATCCCAGGACCCTGGAACCATGACCTGAGCCGAAGGCAGACGCTTAACGACTGAGCCACCCAGGCAACCCAATGATGGACATTTTAGATGTGGATAACCTAAATGGTGGATTTTCAGCAAGAGGGATCAGAGCGACAAACAGCTGATCTACCAAACAAGCCTGCAGAGTTGATGTGGACATTTCTAGAAAGCTAGACATGAATTCTTGCGTGTTTAAAAACCTAGTGTTGCTAGTATGTAAACTCTTAAATAATCCATGCTTGAACACTTTTGTGAAGAGGACATCACACTGGACTAATAGCAGGAGTCAGCGTGAGCTTGCTAAGAGCAGAGCTACCAAGTCAAAATGAATTTTACATTGGACTGTATTCAGTTTTCCTGCCACATACAAAAAAAGAAGGCTGTAGGTAGTTCAAAGAATTATTACTGGAAGAGGAAAGGGAAAGAGTAGAGATAGCCTACCTCACCATGAGACAAAAATAGGTCACTGGGGGTTGGGTCTTTAAACACAGGTAACAGCTGTTTAATTAGTCCTACTGTATTGACATTCTCCTTATAAGAAGTCTTATATTTGAGTATCTTAAGAATATACAACAGCACAGAGTATAAAATTTAAGCATCCAATAATGAATTTAAAAAGATTAAAATAAATTGCTGCCAAAGATGACATTATAAAATACCATTATATGTTTCTCATACATATTATTCATTTAATTAGTTGTACTAATAATTACGACTAATTGCCACTGTTAATTAGTTCTGTTGTTTTGCTTCAATAGTAGCATTTATGTAACAGAAAAAATAGGGTGATATATAATTTAAAAGAAACATATATTTCCCATATTTTTATGTTAATAACACACGTGTATGACTATTTTTTCTGTATTATTATATAGATATATTTTTTTGTCTGCCATGACTGTGTCCTGCTTTCTAAAAAGTTGGTCACTGTAGGTAAAGAAATGACCTTAAGAAATTTTCCCAGATCTGGCAGGCACAAGTTTTACAAATGAACAGGGTGAGTGCACTATATGTCTAGAACAAGGGATGAGAAAAAAAAAAACGACCCAAGCCAATGCATATAATTGAGAAATTTCAGAATACCGTGAAGAAGGAAGATTCCAAAAGCTTCTAGAGAGAAAAAAACAGATCACCTACAAAAGTTTGGGGATCAGGATGACATTAAACTTGTCAGCAACAACACTGGAACTAGAGTATTAACTATAGCATTTAAAAAAAATTTTTGTTTTCAACATTGAATTTACTGGAAGAATTCTTTAACTTGGATTTCACGTCCAAGCAAACAAAAGATCAGATTTACAGGCACAATGAAGACATTTTCAGACATGCGGGAGATAGAAAGTGAACTTCCCAACATTATCTTAAGGAAGCCACTAGAGAATATACTCCTGGATACTGAGTAAACTGACAGTAAACCAAGAAAAACACCCAGAAAACAGGAGATTCCAAACTGTAAATGAGGGCCAGGGAGACCCATAGTGACAGCTGCACAACAGTTCAGTGTGGACTGAAACTGGACAGAAGTTGTGAGAGTTTCAGGAAAAAAAGACATTGACAGAGTTTGTAAATATATTTGCCTATTTGGAGATATCACTGACATACGACACATATGACGAAATGGGCAGAGAAAAATTAAGGATCCCTACCCAGTGATACTAACCAAACGAAGGAAAACAGGCAATTATTAATTTAGGGGAAACAGCTGTACAAGAAAAAAACATAATCATAGTAATACACCGTGTGACAATGAACAGTATAATGTCCTAATGATAACAACACTATTAATGTAGCCAACTCTTACGATGTAACCACAGCGAGGTGGCAGAAGGGACAGGAAGGTGGGGAGAGGGTGGTGGGACAAAAGAGCTGGATTCCCACTTCCTATACTAGCAGTCAGCAGACAGTGACACATTAAGAAATAGCCTTTTGAGCATACTATTTAAACTATGAGGGTTAATACCAGAACAGAGAGAGATCCTCTAGAAGGAGCACTGCACTGTTTTTCATTACAGGTCTTCCAGTACTGTTTGTTTTTTGGGTTTTTTTTAAGATTTATTTATTTATTTGGGGGGTGGGCATGAGTGGGAGGGACAGAGGGAGATAGAGCCGAAACCAAGAGTCAGATGCTTAACCGACTGAGCCACCCAGGCGCCCCCCTCCCCCCCGCCCTTAGTACTATTTGAATTTAGTAAGTGATACAGATTCCTAGACCCACTCCCAGAATTCTAAACCAGTGAGGCTCAGGTTAGGTCCGGCAATCTGTAATTTTAAGGCCCTTGGGTGATCCTGAGAGAGAGGCCTAGGAAAACAAGAGGATTTACTTGACAAACGAGAGGCAAAGTCAGGACTAGACCACGGGGCTCCTGATTCCAGGTTACTGTGTCCTCTACTCTCTAGCAGTTAGCCTCACAGTAGCCTTTGCAGGCTTTAATAAATTCTCTTTAGACTTTTGCTCTTACTAGAAAAATTAGTGGCACGATTTGGTGGGTTCCACGTACAGGCCTGTAGTGAAAACAAAAGCAATCAGATAAGATGACAAACTAAAGAAGTGGGAAAATGACAGTAGTCTAAGGGCCCGCTGAGCTGGTGAAAATACTGAACACCCAGATTTGTTTTAGAGGCAAAGGAAGCGGGGAATCAAGCAGTGAAGACAACTGGCAGCAGCAGACAAATCAAACTCCCCCTCCAGACCGAAGATCCAGGAAGAGAAAGGATGAATGTGAAACTTACCTCTGAATACGAATGCTTTGATCTGAGAATCCTTGTGTGTCAATCATCACGTCTGCTTCATCCAGGACAAACACACGAATCTTAGTCAAGTCAATTAATTTTCGCTTGAAACACCAATCTAGGACAGTCCCAGGAGTGCCAATTATAATCTGTTTGGTGACGTCGGTGCCTCTGGGAACTAGAGAGAAAAGGGTTGATTGACTCCTTCAGATGCAAAGGACCCTCACAGTCCACAATTCTGGGCCACGCAACATTGGGCTGTGAAGCACAAGTATATTTCGTGACGATTTTCCAAGTGTGAACCCTGAGGGTCAGCGCGGATTTGGATTTTGCAGAGCTTTAGGATAAACCCCCCGTTTCTAGGTTTAGGGTAGTAATAGTCCTGCCTATTGGATTCTGCCCCACGGCCAGTCAAAAAGCCACCCTCCAGCAATCCCACCGCCTTACAGAAACACCGGCACAATGGTAAGAAACCTACCAACCGTCCCCAAATGGAAAAAAAGCACAATGTCTATCAACGGGTTACATTAAATAAATTATGGAATACTATGAAGCTAGTCAAAACAATGAGGTGGGACTATATGAATGGACATGGAACGATGTCCAAAACATGTACATTTTTAGACACTATGAAAAAAATGCTCCCATTTTCATAAACACTCCACAAAAACAAATACATACATGTACATCCACATGTGTATGAACTGAAAAAAGAAAGCAAACCACCGAAGTCTGTGAACAAAACTACTATCCTTGGAAACAGGTTTTTGGAGAACGAGACCTTTGCCTTCTGACTTTCTCTGTTTTAAAGACTTTCTCTTCCTGCTATGCTCACATAACACTTCAATGAAAACGTAACACAATACAAGCACGAAACAACTGAGCCTCAAGAAAAGCCAAAACCGTCATCTTTGCAGGATGCGGAAATGACGCAGCTAACACGTACAGCGTCTTTATCACGTGCCAAGCGTGTACACGGTGCTGCATGTGCATCCGTTCATTTAATTCTAGTCACAGCTCTTTGGCACAGGTGCTGTGAGAGCTCCCAATTTAGAGACGAGGAAGCTGAGAAGGTAGAGAACACGCTTGCTGGTGGTGGAGTCGGGATTTAAAAATTCCGCCAGGCCTGGCTTACTGGTACATACTGTGATTCCCTCGAATGGCGTACATCACTTGAACATCCACACAGAATTTTCCCATCTGTTCGACCACACGACCAGTTTGCAAAGCCAGTTCATAAGTAGGAGCTAGGCAGAGGCACTGCGAGAGAGAAGGGGCAAGTCGCAAGGCTCACACAAGCCATCATGCAAATCTGAAGTACAATTAAAATGCGTACAGGGAGACACAGGTCAAACTGGGAGGTTTTGGTTGAATAAAGTATTTTCAGTTGAACACAATTCAGCAGCTGATAGATCTGAGGTGAATGTCGAGTATGGGAAGGGAGAAGGGGTTGAAGGACAGAGAAATACCTTTTATAGATTCCTCTCTAAAGAGTTATGAAGAACCACAGATCCTGCTTTCTTTGTGGGAGAGAGTGGGGTGTAGGGAGGCTGGGAGTCAAGAAGAAAGGAAATGCAAGGCGAATCACTGCTTGAGTGTCACCCCCATCACTTCTTGCCTGCTGTTAAAAGTCTGCCGGTTTCCAGAACACTCCCTGCTTGATCCAATCCACTGTATACACCTCTGGCAGAATATTCCCTAAAATTCTTTCCTTTGTTACCTCCATCCCCCTATATCTGGTGGTTGCTGAGGAAGGAAAATGTTGATGGAAGAAAACTGGTGATACTTAATGCATTTATGGGCTTCAATTAAGGATCTGTGATACAGAGGAGAGGAAAACATAAAGCACTAACAACTGTTTCCACACACATTTCTCAACATGGGTTTAAGCACAGCTTTTCCTGAAGAATTTTTGTTCATAATACCAAACCCTGAATATGTATTTCAGTGAACCTGTCTAAAAAAGCACAAAATTTCATATGCCAGGCATCAGTCACCCACATCCACAGCTTAGCTTGCTGATCAAACTGTAAGCTTCCCGAAAGAACCCTTTGCATGGGGTGCGCTCAATACTCAGGTAGTCAGCTTGTCACGTGAGTTGATGAGCACAGCTTGGAAATAACAGGGAAAGAACACCAGACACTTTCCAAAAGTGGAAGCTAGACCAAGAGAAGGGCAAGTGCGCTTCCTGTCCCTGCTCAGTCACTCTCGGACATCTGTGACCTCATGTGAGACACGTGCCTCTCCAAGCCTCAGTCTCCCCTCTGCTAAAGGAGGAGGCAGACGGGGTGATGCTTTGGTCTGACAGCTATCCGGCCACCACTAGTGAATGCTTACTTCAGAGCAAGCACAGTGTGAAAGAGGGACATTATTTAATCTACAGGACAATCCTATGAGGCACTCATTCATTCAACAAGCCAGGCACTGTGCTCAGACTCAGGAATGATCCATGCCTTTATAGATGTTATCCTTAGAGACAGGGAGACAGACCTGGAATGCTCTACTAACTCACCTAAGACATTCTACTGGTAAGTAGAGAGGCTGGGATTGGAACCAAACTAGAAAGCCTGTGCTCCTGTTACTGTTCCATCCTGCTGCCCACTGCTCTGGGATTTTATGAAAGAATGTCTATTTGAAATGCTATCATATCATGGCAGTAATATCGCCCATTACTAAAATATCACTGGCATTGCAAGCATTCCCCTTCCTCCCTCAACCTTTTCTTACCTGTGGGAACAATTCCAAGGTATTAACTCTGCTTAGCATTGCCAAGACAAAAGCTGCTGTTTTTCCTGTTCCAGACTGGCTCTGGGCTATGAGGTTCTGGGGTCTGTAGAAAAGAGAGACACCTGGGCATAAACTGCATACAGGAGACTAAAAACCAAGTTGGAACAGCACTGCCCTGGAAACTCACGGGTGGGCCAGCATCATAGGGAGAGCCATCTCTTGGATTTTGGATGGTCTGTTAAATCCCATTGCATAGATCCCTTTTAATAACTCTTCCTTCCTATCAAGAAAAAAAAAAAAAAGCACACACTTAAAGCCTATGATTGGTCGGTAGCCTCAGAAATATGAACTCAAAAGGTGTATTTTTAAATTAAGCCACTCTGCAACTGAGCTTCAATATATTTAGAAATATACAATTTACACCTCAACTCCCAAACATACACAATCATGCCTGCACAGTTGGACCACTCAAATAATAAACTATGCTTTAAGCCTAGGCTGAGGACAGTAACAATAGCCTAACACGGAACTTTTGGTTGACCCAAGCAAAAATGCCAGAAGAGTCTTATTTTCCACACAAGCAGAAAACTGAGATTTACTGTATTCTTTTTTTTAAAAGATTTTATTTTTAAGTAATCTTTACACCCAACCTGGGGCTTGAACTCATGACCCCCAGATCAAGTGTCCCATGCTCTTCCAACTGAGCCAGCCAGATGCCTATACTCTTTACTTTTTTAAAATTAATGACAATCTTTGATTCTTTAACAGTAATTTTCAGAGAAGACAAAACTTCATTGAGGTAATTCTTACATCAGTACTGTCTAGGAGCAGAAGACACAATATTACCTCATCCTTCTGAGCCAACATTTTTTTTTTTTTTTGAGAGAGAGAGAGAGAGAGTGAGAACACATGAGTGGGGGTTGGGTTGGGAGGCAGAGGCAGAGAGAGAGAGTATCTTAAGCAGGCTCCATGCCCAGCGGAGACCCCAACGGAGGGCTCATTGATCTCACAACGCTGAGATCATGACCTGAGCTGAAATCAAGGGTTGGATGCTTAACCGACTGAGCAACCCACACACCCCTGAGCCAGCATTTTTAAATGCATCTTTCCTGGGGTCTCACGATAGAGGATAGAAAGAAGAGAAAATGAAGTAGGTTGGAACACTTCCACCTTCAACGACATGTATATTTTGTATTTGGTTACTTGGCAGATTACTGGCAGCCAACTCTTAATCATAGGTAAGCTTCTTCCTCCATTTAGAAAATGTTGGGGCATTGGGATTTTGGATATTTCCCCTCTACATAAGTCCCTATCAGTAACTCTTCCTGTTAAAACGCAGTTCCTTAATGCTAGTTGATAGATCCCTAGGAAATGCAAACCCATCTGGGAAAGTTATTCATTTTAATACCATCTGAAACAAAATATAATTAGGAAGGTAAAAGCTTATAACTTATCTAAAGGGGGTGAGAGAGGGTATCTGGGCCATCAATGTCCCTTTATCTATATTATGGTACGAAGAATAGCAACATGGCTGTGTTGAGCTTAGCTATCCCCCTTAGCATGGCAAGGTTAAAATATTTTACCATCAAGATGTTCTCAATTTGCTGCACACTCAGGTATCCTAGTCCTCCTTTTTGAATTATATTTCAACTGCATGCAAAATGTACACATCTCATTTTAATATTGAATATGAGAACATGAAGGTGATTCTGAGAGTTTTTATTATTAGATTTTTTGTTCTGTACCATTCTTCCTGGAATTTCCCCACAATAAATGAGTAAAAATACTCACAGCCGCAGCTCTTCAAATGTTTTCACTGAGTAGAGTGGAGAGCTGGGATCCTTTTGTAAGACTTCAACTCGGTGACTGGATTCTACTAAGGACTGCCGGATTAACTTGTTTAAGAGTGAATTAGCTGCCAAATCCACTAGAAAGCAAAAATAAAAAAGGAGATATTGCAGGAGAAAATCCAGCCTCCTAAATGAATCTAATAAATTGCTCCTTCCCATTCAGAGACTGTATATCAAGCAACTGCTCCTACTCTCATCTTTCCTCTAAAAGGAGGTTCTAGAAAGAATGACAACACTGAGAATTCCTTTCTACACAAGAATCCAGTTTCTTATGCTCTGCTGCTATACCAACCTCTGACCTTAAGCAAGCCTACATCTATCACCACCAGACCTAATTTTTCCTTGCCAGCTGAAAATTCTTAACCCATTCCTGCATATTCCATCTCAACTTCCCCTAAAGAAATATGGCCTACTCCTAATTTAGTATTTCTTCTGATAGTCACTATTTATAAAGAAAACAGAAGACAGTTCTTTTCCAATTGAGATTATATTATTCGCTCATATTGTGAAAAATCATGATTAACTGATACAGAGTGCTAGGTTACATGCAAATAAATTTATCTCCTACCTACATCTTCTTCATCATCTTCTTCTGTGTTATTAATAGAACCATCTAAAAGAATGGAAGAGAAACAATAAATACCAAACAGAAATGTAAAGTGTATGATCCCAGTATCTGACCGTCTCCACAGTATGCATTGACAGCAAGGGTCATCTAATGAAGGAGTGGGTTAAAAGACTGGGAAGGCAGTGGAGGACCTTGACAGTTAATGGGAGCCGGAGGCATTTCAGTTGCCAGGGACCTGAGGAAAGCAATGCTTTTTCATTAATTGGGGCCAATCTGCTTTATCTAATAGCACTCACCTATGTTTGGGACTGTAGTACTCTTAATACCCCGAAGGTTCTTCCGGGGATGGATGAGGTTTGAAAACTATTGAAAAACACAAATTTCAACCAATATTAGGAAGCAAGCCACCAAGCAGCCCTAGTGCACCCCCCTAGCAGGGAGGGACCCACCCAAATACTGTTTCCTTTGCGGTGTCAGGTATTAATTCTGACACTGGATTCTTTTCAGGAATAGGTCACCTCTATGAATTATGCTAAAATCGAAGGAGACTTTCTGCTGCCCCTGTACCTTAAGTTCCTCTTTACAGTCCTCTAATCTAAATGTGGCAGTCCTTGGGGGTCACAGCACCAGGAAAGGATGGTGGGTAGCAAAGCGCGGTGGTCGGTAAGATGGAAGCTAGCCGAGGCTCAATGGTCAAATTGGGAGAGCAGAAAACTCCAAGATCTAGTTGGGACTATCAGCTGCTTTCTCTCCCGGGACTTCTAGGGGTCTTCATTTTGCCCTTTCAAACCAAAGGTCTCGTGTCTCTCTCGGGGTCTCCTGCCCCCGGCCCTCCCCCACATCCTTGCCACAGCTCCCCTCCACCATTTGACACCCCACTCCACACGCTAGCGGGGCTCTCTCCTCCCGCCCTCCCCGGCAGATCTCCCTCTCAGAGTGCAGTTCTGGCCCCCGCCCACTTGCCCTCCCCAGCTCAGCGGCGGTTACATGACTGTTCAGCCGCTCGCTCTCCGCCGCCCCGGCGTCGCCTCCCCAAAGTAACGACGCCATAGCCGCGATCGCAGCTCCCGCCCCCAGCACGTGCGCCCTCCCCCAGCACGAGGCAGCGCCCGGCTCCAGCCAGCGGCCAATAGGCTTGCTCTGGGGGCAGGCTGACGCGCCCGCGACCACCCGCGGCGCGGCGCGCAGGCGCGGGAGCTCCAGAGAAGTGGGCGGAGCCAGGAGAGGAGGTGGGGGCTGCAGGGGAAGGAGAATTGAGTTCAGAGGCAGGTTTGCCCTCGACCAGCCGCGCGTCGGCGCCAGGTGTTAGAAACCCGCGACGGGGCGCCAGTGTCGTGAACACTCGCCTACTCCTGACCTCTGCTAAACCCGCAACAGCTTGAGATTCTAAGCCGCAGCAATTTTCGCACTGATTCGAGAGTCCTACCTCCCTTACTCACCACTTACTACGCAATTCTCCGGGCGGTCAGGCTGGACCCTCCCCGCTCCCCGCCCCCGCCTCTGCTCCAAGCG